ACATATTAAACCGGAATAGACTCCTTTTTGGCGCTGCAGGCGACAATATATGAAGTTGTAAGGCTTTAGGTATTTTCCTATTTTTCCTCTCACAACTTTATTTCGCTTAATATTTTGCTTTACCAATATCTCGCATATTTATAAGAAAGAGTTGCAAAGTGATCCAATCCTACTTGTGAGCGAGATCATTAAAACCGCGATCGAGATTTATCTTTCAGTCTCAAAAACAGCAAAATTGAATGTTTATTAAAATTCGGGATACCTGGCCGATTGGGATGCCGATCACGGCCATCTCTTTGCTAGAGTTTTGTTTATAAGTTTCATTTTCATCACCTTTTGGGAGGCGTTTGGGAGATTTCTATTGGTGAAGCAAAATATTTTCTAAAACAAGAAATATTATCACATTAGGCTTACAGGTGCATTTTTTTCGAAAATATAATTAATGCTAACGTGTAGCAAAGAGATGGCCGTGATCGAGATCTTGATTGGCCAGGTTTCCCGAATTTTAATCCTATGCAATTTTCTGTTATTGAGACCGTAAGATAAATCTAGATTCCGGTTAACACCCTCTTATAAATATGCGAGATATTGGTAAAGCTAATATTTAAGCGAAATAAAGTTGTGAAAGGAAAAGAAAGAAAAGACCTAAAGCCTTACACTGCAAAAATTGTCGCATGCGGCGCTAAAAATGAGTCTATTCCAGGGTGGCCCTTTCCAAACCACTAAAATAGGGCGCAGCCACTCAAAAATAGGGCAAAAATAGGGCGAAATCGGCCAAAAATAGGGCAAAAAATAGGGCATTATTTAAAAATCTTAAAAATAATTGAAATTTCAACAAAAAAGCTTTATTCTAAATTTTTTAACTAGGTTTAACTAAATTGAGCAAATGGAGGGATATAGGGGGATTTTGAGCAATTATTAATGGAATTGGTGTTAACAGAGTTATCTAGGGAATTCAGGATCAAGAAAGTTATCTAAGATGGATAAATGGTTAGAAACTTGTAGTTATCTAGGGATTTGTGAGGATTCAGTGGATTTGGGGGTAGATTTGTGAGGATTCACTGGATTTGGGGGTAATCCAATTTTGGTGGATTAAGTGCTGGGATTGGGGGATTAAGAGAGATATCAAGGCACTTGGGGATTAATCCTCCGATGTCCCTTCATATACTCTTAATTATTATAAATTACATTTATCTTCTATCCACGTTAATCTTCGCATACACCATTAATCTCTCAAATCCATTGATATCTCTCTTTGTCATACAAATCCCTCGTTATCCAGTCAGACCCCCATAATCCTAGTAAATCCTTCTAAATCGTCTATAGTAAAATCCGCCCATATTCTACTCAAGCCCTTCCAATCCCTAAATTTCACACAATGTCTTTACAGATTCTTCCTTTTTCCGCGCCGCAGGCGAAAATTTTAGGAATTTTGAAGGCCGTGAAGCCAGATTTCTTACTTTTTCTGTCATTTCATTTACAAAATTCTAAAATTGTAAAAATTTTACGAAATGGTAAAAATAGGGCAAAAATATGGCAAATGTAAAAATAGGGAAAAATAGGGCGGAAAGGTCGAAAATAGGGCAAATGCCCTGTAAATAGGGCAAAAGGGCCACCCTGGTCTATTCCGGTTTAATATGTTCAATCCGTAATGAGGTTATCATGTCTGTATCAATCCACATTAAATTGCATAACTCTAAATTTGTTAAATTTAAGTTTGCTCTTAAGTTTTTTAAAATTATTTTAGGGAAAATAAATATAGATTCTTTATAAAAATTAAAAATTTATTTCAAAATTTTCTTTACACATGTGACTTATTTAATTGTCGTGAATTAATGAGAGAAAATTAATTCAAAGAATTTCTTAGCAATCACCCGACTTATTCTTTATTAAAGCAAGAAATCCACACATTGTATGTATTAAAATATACATTAAATCGTAGGAATCGTATATTTAAGATTAATTGGTATATTTTATCATCATAAAAGTGCATTTTAAATTCTCATTCACGAGTAAATAAATAGCTTCATTAAAACAACTATTATAGTCATTTTTAATTTCATATTTTTTTATTAAAATTTTAGTTTTCGGGAAACCTGTGTTTATGCAATGTCTACAGAGCATTTATTTTTTTCAAAAAATTTTCTCCTCAAATATGTACATATACAGTCGTGGAAAAAAGTAACGAAGCGCTAGAAAATTTTTTCTTAATTTTTAATTTTTCAGGCAAAAAATACGTTCTATATATCAATCGAAAGCTCTATTCGTATCTCAGTTGACATGTTTCTGCATTTTTCATAAAAATGAAAATTGGCCGAGATAATCCGGATCTACCGGATATACCAAATCCCACTTTTTCGGAAAAATTTTTCGGAACAAATTTAACAAACCCAAATGATAAAGCATATTTTTGTGAGCATTTACCACAAAACCGCTTAGAAATATCTTATTCCGTAAAAGAAATATGATTTTTTGAAAATGGCATTTTTCGTCTATTTTTGCAAAAAATTCAATTTTTAAGCGAAAAATGCCATTTTCAAAAAATCATATCTCTTTTCCGGAATAAGATATTTCTAAGCGGTTTTGTGGTAAATGCTCACAAAAATATGCTTTATCATTTGGGTTTGTTAAATTTGTTCCGAAAAATTTTTCCGAAAAAGTGGGATTTGGTATATCCGGTAGATCCGGATTATCTCGGCCAATTTTCATTTTCATGAAAAATGCAGAAACATGTCAACTGAGATATGAATAGAGCTTTCGATTGGTATATAGAACGTATTTTTTGAATGAAAAATTAAGAATTAAGAAAAAATTTTCTAGCGCTTCCATACTTTTTTCCACGACTGTATACAGCCAAGTATTATACAGATAATTGCAGCTATTGGATAACTTCTTTGTTGAAATGGAATATCATCAACATTAATTCCTGTACAATTATATATTATGTCAAATTCCTTACATTCCATAAAATATATTCCATTTTAAAATTAATACTGAATATTTCTGAATTTAATTTAAAACAAAAAAAAGAATAGCCATAATTGGCTCCCTGAGATTTTGGTAGTGGACAATTGAGGAGTGGACAACTAGGGAGTAGACGAACAATTGGGCAAGTTTAGGTGTAAGCCATGTCCTGCTGGTTTATACCATTAATGGATAATTTTGAATTAAAAAAACGAAAGGTGGTGAAAAAAAACGGAATAAAATGGAAGGCGGAAGCCCTCTATGGTGACCCAATAAGTTTGGCGGTTAAAGATAACTGGAGTCGAAAAGAGAATGGATACTAGTTCGGATAACCAAAAGCACTGTTCAGTTCCCTTTAATGTCAGAATTTTTCGAACCATGCTGAAAAAGGTGTGAAGTCCAGCAAAATGTTAAAAAGATAAATCAATTAAATAATATTTAAATAAAAGAGACTGGTCACACTTACAAGGAAACATTGTTTATTGCAGCTACGAATTTGATATATGTATATTTTTGTATAATTCTATAGAGGACCCCGTATTTTTGCAAAATGACTTTGTTCCGAGTTATGGCCAATCAAATTCGGACCGCTAAATCTGGAATTATAGGGCAAACGATCAACTTCTCTCTTCTTTTTCATCCTCAAAATACCCGCCCGACTATTTTCTCTTTGTTTAAAGTGTTTAACATTTTTCTATTACCCCTCTTTGCCTTATACTCAACTACCCCAAAGACTGAAAATTTGAATGGCCAAAACTCGTTCATTTTGCAAAACAATGGATAATATTTTGCAATAGGAAGTTGCTGGTCCTTTATTGAATGGTTCCAAAAAATAAGCCAAATTTGCAGCTACAAGTGTTCCTTTGAATAACATTAATTCCTTGAACAAAATCCAAAGCAAAACCCAAAACGACGATTTCGACGACGTTCATCCTTTCTACGTTGTTCTTCTAAACGTTCATTTTCCAAACGTTCCATTTCACGTAGTTCATATTTAAAATATTCAATTTCTCCGTTTAGAAATTGAACTATTTCTTTCATTGTAGGGCGGTTAAGTGGATCTTTTCGGCCACAGACCTTTAAAAATTTTTTTAAAAGAATGATCTTTAACTTTTAATATTGTTCTTTAAATTGATTATAAGTACATTAAACTTGTAAAACTAATTCAAAAATTTCGTTTTCTTAAGGCTTCTTAAGCACAGCCCTAATGTTTTTACCTTTATAACACGATCCAATTTTGTGTTATATTCCGTTTTTGAAATGTATATTGGCATGACATAACGCGGCGAATAATTATCTGTTAATGAATAAATATTAAGTTTTTTATTGTATTTTAATAAGTTTATATATGTTAAAACTTACGATCTATATTATTGAAGAGTTCGTAAACCATTACTCCAAAAGCCCAAATGTCCGCCTTTTGAGTTACCTAAATATGTTTTATGTACATAGTAATAGGGACAGGACCCTGCACAGGATTTTTCAGGATCCTGTCCGAAATCCTGCCTTTTTTCAATTTTCAGGATTGTCAGGATTCCAGGATTTTCATGATCCTGTTCTGTATGAAATTTTAAACCCATTCCTGTTACAAGATCCGTCCTGAATAATTTTCACGGTTCAGGATTTTGTTTAGTCGCCTGCGGCGCTGAAAAATTCCGATTTTTGTCTTCCTGGCCTTCCAAAATCTTAAAATTTTCGCCTGGAGCGCTGAAAAAAGAAGAAATCTGGCTACGTGTCCCCCCAAATTCTAAGAATTTTCGCCTCCGGCGCTGAAAATGAAGAAATATTTGATATAAGAGAACAGATATCAAAGGTTATGCTCGCATGTTTTAAGGCAGAATGCTTTCGTTCACTTTTAATTCCTCTTAATCATCCCAAATCCTTTGAATCACCTCCAATCCTCTTAGCTTTATAGGTTTGATAATTTTAATAAATTCTTTAAATTTATCAAATTAACATCTCTTAAGATCCGAAAATTATACGAGAATCTAAGGTTATATTTACTGTCTTTATAAAAAAGCGAAATTTTTTCCAGTTTAGTTTGCCCATTCAAGCTTAGTCCCGAATATAAATGTTACGCGATCTGTGTTATGAATCTCTGGAGCTTTGAATAATTTAGCAATATTCGCCATATTTAGTATAGGAGACTGCCCATGCATCACGGCCGTGTTGAAATCTATCAGTTTACTTTCAATCACATTTTTATTCCAACTTTGTTCTAAGGACATTACAAAATTTTCTCGTTTAATATCTCCATGAATTCCACCTACTATAAATTAAATAATAAATACTTATATAATTATTAAAATATAAGTACTCCTACATTTATGGAATTGTTCTAGTGATTTAGCAGCTCCTCTAATAATTTTAATAAGAAACTCTTCGTTTGTCCTTTCTCCTACTAAACCACCTTCATTTATAATTGTTTTATGAAAATAATCTCTCAACTCCATTCCACCAAGTTCTAAAACTGTATACATTATTTTATCGTCTTTTATTTTTTTTATCTCGCTTTAAAATATCAATATTAAATTACCGTATTTATTCTAATAAAATGGCCCCTCCATTAGAATGGCCCCTCCAATAGAATGGCCCCATTTTGGGGGTAATGAAAAATAGAATGGCCACCTCCATTAGAATGGCCCTCTAATAGAATGGCCCTTTTAACTAATAAGTATATGCCTGAATACATTTCTTTATTTTCCTATTATGTATTAAATATTACTCTTTAGTGAGGATAAGCATAATATTTTTGAGCAAATTTGGAGTCATAAAAGGGAGATTAAGAGGGATATTAAGGGATTTGAGAGGATTAGGAGAGATATCAAGAAATTACAACGATTTAATGAAGATGCATGGGATTAAGAGAATTAATAGATATTTATGAATTTGACGATATAAGGAAGTTGGATATAAGGTTGTCGGATCCGGTTCGGATATTGGATCCGGATATCCGAGGAATTCATCTATCCGACAACCTTAGTTGGATACATTTATTTTATCAGGGGACTTGCAGGGACATAGGATTTTGAGGAATAATGATGGATTGATTGAGATTTGGGATAAAATTCTGGATATTTCAGGACCCTTGAAGACATAGGAAAATTTTGGAATTTTTGGTAGTTTAGAATTTTAATTACTAATCAATATCCCTCCAAATCTCTCCCAATTCCCATATATTACGTCCAAATTCCGAGATCCCACGAACTTTTATGAGCAAACTATACCGGAAATTTTGATTGTCTGGCACCAAAGTAAATAAAAAGTTGCTTTTTTGCCCAGCAGGCAAAAGATTTTTATGTTTTATAGTGTTACAAAAATGAAGATTCACTAACCAAAGTCGAAAATATAGAATTTTACACGAAAAATCGATTAAATTTCGAAGTCAAAAAATATTCGATCGAACATTTGATTCATCCTATCTCTGATTTTTACCTATGAAAAATAGAATGGCCACCTCCATTAGAATGGCCCCTCCAATAGAATGGCCCCTTTTTGGGGGTATCGAAAAATAGAGTGGCGGCCACTCTATTAGAATAAATACGGTATAAATGTTAAATTAAAAATTTTTTACTTATATGAAAATTATTCCAAAATAAAGTTCCGTATAAAATTAGTGATTTATCATGAAAATGTGAATATTAACACCAATTTATAAAATGGGCTACTCATAGAGGAAAAAATGCAACTAAAGGGAAGAAAAGTACGCATCCCTTTTGCGGACAGGTAGAACATAAACTGGACATTTGCCGACTTGTATATAATACTTACTATCCGAACATTTTTATTATATGATTCCTTTCATCTTCTTCCTTTTTATTCAAATACTCCAAAACATCTACTTCTCTTTGTATTCCTTCTGAATATTGACGCGTAATTTTTGATATTTTCAAAGCTACACACAAATTCCTTTCTGGCCAATAGGCATGTTTAACCTTTAACAGAAATTTAATTATAATTTGTGATTCGTAAATTGCACGAATAGACTTATGTATGTAGTGAGTTGAAAGATTAGAGTTTAGGAATTTCTGAGTTACCGGCCCAAACATCGAAACCAATGTCCAAGCGGTAATAGTTTGGAATTCGCCCCCTTTTTCATCGTTTCCCTGACCATTTTGAGCTGTTTTTAGATGATACATAATTTATCATATATCATTCAAAAGAGCTCTTCGAGCTTAGTCGAATGATACCATGATTGGATTGATCTGAGCATTCTTACCAAAATTATGAAGCCGAATCTAGTTGGTTAAACCTTTGTGCTAATGCAAGTGGATAAAATAAACGGTCACAACTTTGTTCACTTAAGTCAGAGTTCGTTGATTTTAATGTTATTCGACTCAGCTAGAAGAGCTCTTTCGAATGATATAAATTGCCATAAAATGAGAAGAAACTAGGGAAAACATAGAAAGGGAATAAGGGAGGCGAATTACAAACTATTACTGTCCAATCTTAATTTTTCAAATTTCATCGAGATCGGAGAAGAGCCCAAAAAATTCCAAAAATGTATGGATTGGAAATCAACGGAGCCGAGTTTTCAAGATAGGTTTGTTTGTACTACGTAAAACAAATTTTCTCAAAATATATTTTAAAAAGTTGCAATAAAAACTTGCATATCCAAAGCTACTACTTTCCCCAATCGGATCATATTTCTTAACTTTCAATTTAATTTCTTTGACATTTTCGTCCTGATCCAAATCAAAAAGGTTACTTCTACCACATGGACATTTATCTTGATTACTGTGTGATGTTAAGGCTATTTCTTTAAATTTTTATTTTTTAAATAAACTAAAAATATATGACTAACCTTTTCCCTTAACATTTCCCCCAACATATGCAGCTAAAAATAAAATTTTAAAGCTTTATGTTTAATCAGCCAGTAAATAAATCAAACTCATCTATATAAAATGTTCTTAAGGTGTACATACACACCAACTAAACGTCGCGAACCTACTTCCATCTAGATAGCCAGATGGCATGGTGTGCCGAAACCAAATGTAAATAGCAAAACACAATTTTTTAAGCGAAATAACGAAAAAGTGAGATCCGACGAGAATAGTAAAACAGAACTTACAGACCATATCTACAAAGATATCCAAACAAATATAATTAATCTTTTCTTTATAAAAAGGGAATCGGTGAGACACAAAGAGGTTAAGTGTGAGAACTATACCGTAAATTCTAATTCTAGCATAATGCTTCTATTTTTCGATCCCCGACTAGGGTGTGCTTCCTCGATTATAACATACAACCCTATTATTAATATAAGTACCTTGAAAACTCCACAAAATAAAAATTGTAATATTTAATAGATTCATATTAAAATTTCTTAAATTAAAATAAATTTATTTATTTATGTAATAGTTATATTTCATACTATGATAATTACATATAAGTAATAGGTTCGATACAAAATTTTTATTTTTTAATTACTATATAAAGTAAACTCCGATTACAATGGAGTTTAATATAATTATCTGGTATAAATATAATTATCTGGGAGATAATTATCTGGGAGAACAAAAATAATTATCTGAGAGGACAAAATAATTTAACTTAAATTTACGTGAAAATGTTTATTAGTATGTATTTATTCTAAACTTTGATACCGATTTCGTTCAAACCCGGTCCTGAATTAAGTAAATATGTAAATTAGGCTTCTCTATTATGTACATAGAAGAAGCTTGAAAACTTAAGCATATCTGAATATCATTAGATGAGAATAGGCGGAATACGGAATACTATTAGTAGTATCGGCCCTATCGGAAGGCCTATCGGCCCTATAGGATGGGGTCTGATGGGGCAATAAAAACATGGTTGACTATTCGGCTACCCGACACTTGAGGATATGACTTTTGAGGACCAGACACTTGAGGACCGACGTTTGAGGACGCGACCTTTGAGGATGCGACTCTTGAGGACGCGACTTTTGAGGATGCGACCTTTGGGGATGCGACTTTTGAGGATCAGACATTTGAGGATACTCTAATGTCAAAAAAAATTTAAAAATAAATAATGTTAATTTTATGTTTAAAATTTAAATTTTATAATTTTATGGCTTGCTCAAGGCCTAACGAGCAAATAGTGATCATCAATAAATATAATCGTTTCAGTTTTCGAAGTAGTTGAAATTTTGAAAATTCGTTGAAAATTTTGATGAATTCAATAGGGTTGTCGGTTCCTAGAAATTCTTCGGATATCCGAAACCGAAGAAACAAACCGAAAATTCTCGGATATTGGACCGAACCGAAAATTTTTTCGAGGGTTAAGAAGTTATTAAGGATAGCGGTGTTGTACATATAAGTGAATTTGTTGATATAAGAGGTTTGATATCGGGTGTTAAAATGGGTCTGATTTGATCAAGGGGATGATTAAGAAAGTTCCAATTAAGATAGTTTTCAATTATTAAGAAAGTTTTCATTTATTATTATCAAATTAATAAAGTTTTGGAAGGATAAGAGGGATATGCAGTGTACCGGGGCTTCAAGGAGGATTTAGAATTTTGGAAAACAGCCTATCAGATTTCTTCCTTTTCAGCGTAAATTTTGAAATTTTTGGTAGGTTATGGGGCCAGATCTGAAGGCCAGATGAGAAATGTCAAGTTTTGTACGGTCAAATAACCAGATATCATTTGCTCGTTAGGCCTTGAGCAAGCCATAAAATTATAAAATTTAAATTTTAAACATAAAATTAACATTATTTATTTTTTAATTTTTTTTGACATTAGAGTATCCTCAAATGTCTGATCCTCAAATGTCGCATCCCCAAAGGTCGCATCCTCAAAAGTCGCGTCTTCAAGAGTCGCATCCTCAAAGGTCGCGTCCTCAAAGGTCGCGTCCTCAAAAGTCGGTCCTCAAGTGTCTGGTCCTCAAAAGTCATATCCTCATATGTCGCGCCACGGACTATTCACATTGCTGTTCTACACTTGGCCTATTCCTCGGTTAACAATCCCATTTATCCTCATCCCGAATTTATAATATTTTAAGAGTTTATGTTTAAACAAGAACTCAAAAGAAAACTAAAACTGAAACATCCAGTCAACTTTAGTGTTTCACCAAATACTACATATTGACAATTTAAAACAAACAATTCCTTAGAAATTAAAAAAATTTTAATAAAGAAATTTAAAGTGGAATCGAATAAATTATATAAAATGAAGTGTAGCGATTCCTAAAATGAAGGGTAGCGATTCCTCTCCCCTCTGTATACATATGTATGTTAGGGAGAAATACTCACAAACATGTGATATGCCAACCATAATTTTTAGGTGCCA